TCGACAATATGCGTTTTTGCTGGCTGTAGCAGCGCTATAGCGCTTCACAGCAAAAACGCATAAAAAGGACCGTAACTTGCACATCTATGTAAAATTATGCAAATTAAGAAAGCCGAGGGCCGAGAAGAATGGAAAAGTTGCCAAATGTGCTCCACCAACGGCGAGAAGAAACGCATCGATGAAACATCAGTTGATCGGAGAGTACCAACGTATGTTTGTTTGCAGCAACGAACTATGCTCGCTAATGCAAAACAGTGGAGTGACCAAATGCTAGAAGCCGAAAAAATACTGCGTTCAAAATGGCCATATCTGACAACGAATGCAAATCCGTTGAAATCATCGTAAGATACATTGTCAGATTAAGATTACGCTTCCCGCTCTCCTTTTGTGTTCGCTCGCTACGTTCCCCGTCCTTCCAGTCACATCTTGAAAAACTCGACAAGTTTTCAGGTGCCAAACAGACAACACAGCTTCGAAACCAGTGAATATGACATTCATTTACTCAGCTGCGTAGGTCTTTTCCGAACGGAGCTTACTCGAGTAGGTTTGAATCCAGTGAAGTAGTGCTTGCTGCCGAGATAGATTGAGATTGCTTTCAGATCCTCGCTGCCGATGTTAATCACTTCCTCACGACTGTGTTTCCCAATGCCGATTGCTTTCATCAGCGATGCAACCTGCAAGAAAGTACCTACAAGAAATTTATGTAAAAATAAAGATACACAAAAAAAATGAAGTGATGGTGCTTTTCACAAGCATAGCATCCTCGAAATGATTATGAATAACGATACTACTGACACATATCCTAGAAGTGTGATGCAGAGATATCCAGCTGAACGTCATGTTGCCTGCCCCGGCCGCTTCAGTAACCAACCATGCGTGCATATATATATATATATTTATATATTTATATATATGCACCATAGCCCGGACCTATGGGAAGGGAGAGATAAACACTGGGCTCAACTTCAAGGGGCGGCAAATTAAGGGGGAAGACAAACTCTACAAGATGTAAACATTTTCAATTGTTATGCGTTTTTGCTTCCGCACGCTAGGCAGCAAAAACGCTTATTGCAACGACTCTGTTTGTATATGTGTGTATTTGTTCGTCTCTCCGGGTGTTTGTACTCAGCAGCCATGAAAGCTTTGAAACTGAAATTTTACCATTGTGTTCCCTGACCCCAGAACCGTGATATTAAATGTCACACACGTCTACGTTTCACGTACAAACACGTGGAAGTTTCGCGAGAAAATCGCAAACTCGGGGATGATAAAAGCTAGAAAGCTGAACTTCAGCAGAACGCTCACTATTCATATACGGTTAAAAGATTTCAAATCCAGCTCTTTAGAACTGTTCGGGACTCGCATACGGACATGTGAGAATTTTGGCGAGAACGACAAAAGCTGGAAAACTGAAATTTTAAGGAAATGTTTCCTACTCATGTGCGGTTAAGTAATTTCAAATCCAGCACTTTAGAACGCCCAGGATTCGTGTACGAACATGTGGAAGTTTCGGCGAGAAAACTGCTAACTCGAGAACGAGAAAAACTAGAGAGCTTTAACTTCCGGGGAATGTTTACTACTCATTGTACGACCAAAAGATTTCAAATTCAACTCTTTCAGTGGGGTCTTTTCGCACACCAGCAACTTTCCGTTTGTCGGGTTACTGAAGCCGGTATTTACAACTGACACATCACATAGCTGCAAAGTTAACTTCCTGAACTTTGAGACCAGTATGTCACAAATTTTAGCCACTGTGGTTCCTTACGATCTTGCTACAGCACGAAACAGTCAAAAAAGCACGAACATATCGGCCTGCCTGACGCGTTCCAGCCTGGAGTTTTTTTTTTTTTTATTGCCTAAATACGCTAGAGTTCAGTGAAAAAAAGCAGAACTTGATGGAAAAACTTAAAAGTGGGTAGGGAAGGCGGCAGTTCCAAGTTCCTGCCCCGGCTCAAAAAAATCCAAAATCCGACACTGCATAAATACACAAGTTTGAGAGCCATGCTATGGATTTTAGCACATCAAAGTACGAGATTGTGGTAAATTCCACCACGCCTCTGCAAATCGCTGCTACCAGACACTTCGACGGGATGAAATTTCTTTTGAAAATGGGGCAATTTTACTAAGAAACAAGATGTTCAGTATGTGCAAATCACTCCATATCTGTTTAAAATGGGATACCCACACTGAATGCCCGGGAGGCCCTGATATC